ACAGAATTCACATCAAATGGAGGCTGAAATTAAGGAATGTAACTGTAAGTTACAAATAATTACTGTATACATTTTGGAATATACAGTACTGCAGTTACAAACTTCATTGTTATGTTGCTGTTTTTTATGTTTCATCCTTTTGTGATGAACTGCAAATGGACTCAATTATGTCTGAAGAGAAATGGTAATGTATGTAAATCAGTAAACGTCTCATGTTGTCAGTATTTGAGTATGTACAGGTATGCAGTATGTGCAAAAAACTCACACTAAATCTGCTGTCTTTCTTCCCTGGTGTGCTGGCAAGAGTGACCACAGCATCTTGAGGCAGTTCCAGGTTGATTCTCTCGTCACTTTTTATCGGTACAACAACAGCTTCTTGACAGTCTACAAAAAATGCCAGCCTATCAGTCTCCAGGCTCACAGCCAACTGTACCCACTCCTCCCCGGAGAAGGGGTTTCTCCTTGGGAAGTGAAAGCTGGCAGGGCCCTGAGCTCCTCCTCCAGCCTGGTAGTCCAAACGCAGAGAGTTGTGGGTGGAGGAGATGATTTGGAGAATGGGTGAGGATGCAGAGGAGATAGAAAAAAGAGTGGCACTGGAGCCCGATGCCTGATGCCCCACCAAATGCACCCCCATACCACCCTGAAGGTTGGAGAACAAGAAGTGGGAATATTCACGAGAAAGAGTTAGGTACGGGGCTCTGGGACGTATTTTGTATATCACACTGCCAGGACTTTGCAGTCTGGTGACACCGCTGATGTGGTGGGACATGTTGAGGGCTGCCAGAAGGTCGATCACTAGGAGAGAGATAAAACAGACTTGTGACAAACATGCAGACACATACTGCATGAGGTCAAGCTCGGTCAAATGGAGGGTGACACTATGGTTTCTGGGTTGTAATGATTGTGTGAGTCTGTGTGAGACCGAATCAGAATGAAGCCGTTCATCAGCCGGTCACACATGGCTGTTGGAGATAAATCCTCACTGCTAAAAGCTGAAGTTGGTAAGTTTGTTTTGGTTTTTGGGAAAAAATGTATAGTTTCCCCCAGTGGTGGAAAGTAGTCAAGTGCAAGTACACAAAGTAAGTACATAATACAATTATTAAAGAGTACTTGTAATTGAGTATTACAATAGCTATAGGCCTAGCTTCTTTGTAAATAAAGATTTTGGATGAAAACATATGATCAGCTGATAGAATATGATGCATGGTTAATGATTCATCTACCCAACATTATGTAAAGTAGTTGAGATGATTTACACCAACACAACAGCTATAAAATGTTGCTTACACATAACTAATCAGTGATAATAACTGAATGCTATAATATATGGTATGTAAGACTGTACTGCAAAAACAAGTACTTACTTAAGAATATGTTGCATGAAGCACTTTAGTTTTACTTCTTTAGAATACTTTCACTTTGCAGTATTGCTAATGTTTCACTTTAATAAAATTAAAGTGAAACATTTCCATATAAAAATATAAATAAATAAATGAACAAAACTATAAATATGCAAAATAAAAAAACAACAAGTAACCCAAGAATGCTTTTGTAAACTCACCATTCTCGTGATTTGGACTGGAGTGCCCCTGCACAGACAGCACAAAGATACAGAGCAAATGTATCTCCAGCAGCATGAGCGTCCTCAGTTTGCAGCTCTCCATTCTCCAGACGGAACCAAAATATAAAGCCTCGAATAATCTCCAAACAATTTATGCAAAAGGCATGGTATTCATTGTCTTTTTAACCTTAATCTGGTGACATGGACCTTGTACTCTAGGTTGAAGATTTCCCTGTTTTCACTGCGAGCAGATCTTTTCCAAAGAGCACACAGGGGAAACATGAAACATCTGGATGCAGGCAGGGCGTCACTTCTCTGCAGTCACACAATTACATTCCCCCTGGGGCCATATCTACAACGACGTTTCACTCCATGATCACAAAGGCATAGAGTTTGATGATTATTACTATCCTTGCTCAAGATGCTTTTTATATATAACAAGAGAGAGAGAGAGAAAAACACAGACGTGCAGAAAAGTTCAGGTGTGCAGTGTGCGTGAGGTCACCGGTTCTTGTCTGTCTTGTTCAGTTTCCAGTCCCAGAAGGATAGCTGTGGGGGGAAGTCCTTTCTTCCCTTATTTTCCCTCGTTTTTGTCAGGCAAAAAAAAAAACCCATCTCTCCACCCATTACTGCTCAGTGGTGTTGATTCCCAAAGACCTCCGTTTTGGTAATCACCTAAAACCTGGCCTGGAGACTGGAGGGGATCCATGCTGAAAGCAGCCAAACATGTTTTTGTGTGTGTGTGTGCACAGAGAGAGAAAGAGAGAGAGAGAGAGAGAGAGAGAGAGAGAGAGAGAGAGAGAGGGCGGGGGTACACGGAAGTAGTCATGTTTCACTGCTTTGGAGACGTCCCAGTGTGCATCCCACTGTGCTCAAGCCCCCCCACCTCTGTCTCCACAACTCTTGGCGTTCCTTTCATGTTGTTGTCCTTCTCTTCTCTGCTGTGTTTATTATTTCAGAGACTTTCTTTGAGTGCACTCTCATAAGCAATAGCTCTGAGACTACACAGACACTGCCACTCAAAAAGACAGACATATGCCCCTCTGTCTCGTTGTAGTGTTTTTGGTGTGATGACACCCAGGTGTTTCATAATGGAAGCAGTGGACTGGAGAGTCCCTCACCACTCCAGATTGTTTTCTATACAGATTGAGAGTATATCTGTTGAGGGAGATCCAGGCTTAAAGAAGACACTACTTTGAACCCATGATTTTAACTAAGATCTTCCCACCGTCTGTCCAAACAAACCTTGTCACGTCCGTGACTCATGCCAGCTAGTCTGTAATAATCACAATTAAAAGTTTACCCAGAGGACTTGCTCTTTTTGTTTCCGTGTTTTTTCAACATACACAACATTCTTCCAGATGCCATGACTCTTTCAGGCCAAGAGAGCTGATTAGAGACAGTGATATAGCAGTAAAAGCTTTGGAATGCAACATTATTTTGTTAAAGGAGCAATAAACCTGGTTCTGTCTAACAATAAAGCAGAAACAGACTATTTAAAGATATTGTGAAGTGATGTTATCTGAGCTTCTCCTTGCTTTGTTTACACAGCCAGGCTGGCCGCGCATGTTTTTAGTGTATGGTAGTACATGTGAGCAGCTCTGATCTGCTCTCATACGGCGGTTACAGCTGATATGATAACGTTGTCCCCACTGACAGCGTTGTTGCGAAGGCATAGCACCCACCCTCAGGTTACCCCTCAGGTAAACACTGTTAGCTCTGTCAGCACTCTTGCAATTGTTTATACTGTTGGCGCTGTTAGCACCATTAGCTTTGAGATGCAGGCTAAGGCATTGCCATGTTGAGAGCTGTTGCGAGGCAATCGAAATGCTCCCAATCTTGTATTATACACCTTTAAGACATTTTTTCAATGAAGAATAACGCTTTATGGAGGAGGAAATTTAATGTTCAATTTTCACAATTTAGAAAAATGCTTCTCAGAAGAACTCTGACAAGACCAAAATGTTGTTCTCACACCATCTTTGTCTTCCTTTCGTGTGGAATAAGTAGATCAGTGTTACACCCAGACTACATTGAGTTGATGTGCAGGACAAATTGAGGAACTTAAAAAAAGACAAATAAGTCTACAGCCATGCATCTCTGGATAATGCACATTGCTATATTTTTTAGCTGAATCAAACTAACATGCTTATAATGACACATATAATGTTTACCATGTTCAGTTAGCATGCAGACATTTGGTAATTAGCACTAAACAGAGCTGAGGCTGATGAGAATGGAATACATTTTGCAGGTATTTAGTCAGAAACCAAGTGATTGAAAATAAAAAAAATTGACCTGATTATGGCGCTAGATGAAAAGTCATTAGAGGTAATACTGTTCATCCTAAGGGGGGATATGTGTGAACCAAATTTCATGTCAATCTATGCAATAGTTATTGAGACATTTCACTTAATTGCCATTTCAGGTAACATCATTATAAGAAAAAGCAAAACATACATTCTGGAAACAGATGTTCAGATAATGAAGTTGTCAAAGCCAGCGATTATCTATCATCCACGCCCCATTATCCTTTTAACCACATCTCTGCTGACATCCAGTGGCCATGACCAATCACAGCAGTATAATGCAAACTCAGTTCATATGTTAATCTACTCAGCTATTGGCTGCATGAAATACCATCTTTAAGCCAAGAAATATGATCTGAGAAGTGCTTGTCCTCTGCACTCTCTGTCAAGGACTGTACAGAGTTCAACCTTTCCCTGAGGCAAACTTCACACTTCTGCTCCCTCTCATTTTCTCTGACATTGGAAACCACTCACAAGCCTGCACAAACCAAAACATTTCTAGTGGAGCCAGACAACAGCTTTTATCGCAGGAGCCCTAAAGATATGTGCAGACACACTCCTTTAAGAGTGTCTGTCTGCGTGCGCTTGTGCCTAGGCATGCTGGGACAACTGTGTAAAAGGATGTGGGTTAATCTTTAGAAGGTGAACAGCTGATGTTTGATAGCTAATCCCTTGTCAAGACACATTAGTTGTCACATGTCGGCGACGCTAATTGCACAAATCCAACAGGCGCAAGCTGCGTAAACAAAGTACATAATCGTACTCTTTAGCAAAGTCTAACCTATTCAATACATTTACATATACATGTATATTTAAAATATGATAAATCTTGCCAAGAAAATTACATTTCCTGTTATGCTCTGTAGTGGCTGTATTACTTAAACCTAGAGTTGAATGGACAATATGGCTGTTCAACTTCGATTGCATGACAAACTGTTTATGAAGGTCAATTGTCATTGTACCAGATAAATCTCTTAAATTCACTTGTGACCCCAGTGTCTGACCGCACCATCAGGTTCTTGCCATCTTTAATCTGATTGGCTCAGTCTTTGTCCCTGACCAGGTAAGCCCCACCCTCAGGCTTTAGCCTCTGAGCTGCTGTCGATCCAGGGATACACACCATACGTTGCTGTCTACTTTTTAGTGTACGTGTGGCTGGTGTTATCTATTGTTGTGTCTACATTGTTTATTCCTAAAAACCCCAGTCTGTCTGTATTGAGTGGTGTTTCGTGGCTTTTTCAGGGCTTTGGGAATCAGTGATGTTGCTTCCATCACAAGTCAAGAGATTATGGAGACTGACAGACAAGCTGCAGAGGATTTGACAGGTCAGTCCATGATACCTCAGTTGAGTGTCTATTTACTTCGCATTTGCAGAGGAGTCCTGATCCTGAAAAGCCCACTCACCCCAGCCACCCCATTCAAACACTTGCACAAACACGACAGTGCATGACAGACATTTAGTCACACACCTTAATTCACTTGAAATATAACTGGAGTTGATTATTGTGGTAAAAAAGAAATATGGCCAAGTGTCCAAGCAGTTGTCTGTACGGCAGATATACTGCTAGAAGGACTCATTGTTACTCTTCTCTGTGCTTGTAGAAAATGCAACCCCTAGGAAGCCACAAAGACAGAAGAATATAAATCATAGTGTCGACTCTAAAGTCTTGTTAGGTCAGAGAAACATGTAGAGAAGGAGGATAGTGGGCTACTATTCAGCTGGTTTGGTCTCTCAGCCACGCCTAAACCCACTTTAAGGGGATTTGAGGAAATTACACAGAGCAAGTGTGTGTGCTTGTGTTGAGAAGGTCTCAACCTATTGATGCTTCTTAGGACGTGTTGTCATCAAGACACAGAATAAAGCTAGGTCTAGCCCACTCATTCTTACCGTAGAAAGGGAAAGGATGACCATGTTTAACTAATCGTGTTTTCTCCCTCTTCCCTCAGGAAAAACTGGTCCCTGAGGCCTTACTGAGCCCAATGATGGTCCTCATTGAACTGAAACGGAGTATATTTCAGGCCAAGGCTCTAGTCGGCTCACTGCTGGTCCTCCTGTGTCTGCACACAGCCACGGGTATACTGCCACGTCACGTTTGTTCGTATATGAGTTCGGTTCTTGACCAGAATGAATGGGTTTCTTACACTCTGCATATGTGTTTGCATTGACACAGGAATGTCAGGGTGGGGTGGATGTTTGGATGGTCAGGATGTATTCACAACGATCAGAGAAAACAGCCATTCGGGAGAAGTTGTCGCCGAACTCGTGGCTGAAACCAAAATGGAGGGGGTTCACTGGAGCCTGACTGGAAAAGATGCTGATTGGTTCTTCTTGGATGAAGGAAGCATCCGGCTGAAAACATCAGCTGACAAGGTCCTCGACCGAGAGGTAACTCAAGAAATGCTTGTAATACTGTGGGGCTGCAATGAGGATATCTATGTTTACAGCAAACTTTCAGAGATTGAGCTATACAACCTTGTCCTTGGACCAAACACAATCTCTTACCGTCATCCTCTACGTAGCCAGCTGACTTACATCATGGCAGCTGCTAAGGGGTCAATCAGATTAATTAACAATCTCACTCTCTATCTGTCAGTCTACTTCTGTCACTATATCCTTAAAAAATATATATTTCAGGACATAAAACCATTTAATACAGCTACAAAGTATCAACATTGAATCCTCATCAAGTATCCTTGGCATGTGATCAAAATGGTCCATAACATTCATATTAGTAAACGCAGTCTGTTTAAAAGCATCAATTCCTCCCTCTAGACATGCTGTCTTTTCAGTGCACTTAATAAAACATGAGAATGTGCATTTCTTAGACTGTAATCATGAGAGGAGAAATAATATAAAAAAGAACAAGGAATATATGAGGTGTGTACGCTATTATTTCTTAAATTTTTGGTGTACATGCAAAAGTGCACAACAAATACAAACGGCTTTGAAGCCTGGGTTCAGTTTTTGAAAGCAGCTTGAAAATATTTCCACCTCAGGCTTTTAATATGGAATTGAGTATGAGAGAGTTTTTCTGTGTCAATGTCTCATTACAAAGTTACCCTTTGGTTGTCATAATTTACTATTTGTGTGAAAATATTTGATTATATCGAATTAGGGATGTCCCCGTCTAACAATTTACATAGTCGTTCCTGATTGGTTAAGTCTTGCCTTTTGTCGACAGATCGACAAATCATGTGGGCTATGCTCATTAAAGCTTTATGTATGTACAGAAAATGTTTGCATGTGTGTGTGTTGTGTAGTGGCAGCTCGGTCTGTAGCACGTTTTTTGTAGTCATGTTTTTTTCTCCTTCTTGCTTCTCTTGGTTGTAAATAGAACATTCAGTCCAAATTCCATTTTCCAAATCGTAGCAATCCAAAGTGAAGTGACAGTCAACAGGAGAGTGAGACACAAAAAAATATTTTGCGCCTCCCCCACCTTATTTTAGAGAATCGTTCATATATGCATCTAGTGATCTGATAGTTCTACGTTCTTATGTGACTGCTCTGATTAATACATGTAGGTCTATTATTTGATTTTGAAAGCTATGTTGATATTTATGAATAACAACGTTATTTTGTTACCACATTTACCATTTACTATCACTGAGACCATTCGACTGTGAGATTGACAGCCAAATCAGGCTCCTTAGATCCAATATTCGAATAGTCAACAATTCGGGGTCCCTTCTTTATTAAATAAAGGACTTATTTGTTTCCTCATTTCTGTTGTTGTCTCTCTGTCAGGCTCAGGGTCCTGTCCTAATGGCTGAGTTATCATGTTATGAGGACGACGCACTTCAGGTACACTTCATCAACCTTCATCTTACCTATAACTCTTTAGTGTTTCATCCCACATTCAAACCTATAGTCACACACCTTAATTCACTTGAGATATAACAGAAGTTGATTATTGTGGTGAAGAAGAATTCTGGCCAAGTTTCCAAGCAGCTGTCTGTACGGCAGACATACTGCTAGAAGGACTCATTGTTACTCTTCTCTGTGCTTGTAGAAAATGCAACCCCTCAGAAGCCACAAAGACAGGAAGAATATAGATCATGTTGACTCTAAAGTGTTGTTAGGTCAGAGAAACATGCAGAGGAGGATGATAGTGGGCTACTATTCAGCTGGTTTGCTCTCTCAGCCACGCCTAAACTCACTTTAAGGGGATTTGAGGAAATTACACAGAGCAAACCTCTATGTGTCTTTTTTTTTTGCTGGTGTAGAGTGTGTACAGAATCGTGGTGGAGATTCTCAATGAGAATGATAATTTGCCTGTGTTTGCAGAAGACATGGTCCGGTCTTTTACTATCAGTGAGGTGAGGCACTTTCACAAATACAAGCACACAAATCTGTGCATGCATACACAAAACATACGAGACTAAAGTGCTGAAGTGTTTCTCTGCCTGCCTTTCTACCTGTGTGTTTTCCAGCTGACTCCAGTGAACACTGTGGTGTTTACTGTCCAGGTCACAGATGCAGATAATGACAAGATCATTTACTCCATTGACCAGGCATCAGTAAGTTCTGCTCGAGTTCTAAACGAATAGAAAAACACCACCATAAAAATAACCATTGTTAATGTCTTTGTGTGTGTGTGTTCTTCAGCCGGATGCAGAGTACTTCAAGGTTGATCTCCCCAACAGTGGAGAGGTGATCCTGTCCAAGCTTCTAGACTATGAGACCAAAACACTGCTTTCTGTCACCATCCACGCCTCGGTAAGCTATGTACATCTCAATTTTAACTGTTTTAGAATACATGCATGCACACATACATCTAAATGAAATCCATCATCCTTCCCTGAAAATAAAGTAAAGATTTGATTCCCTGATTTTCCTGACAATTGCTGTTAAAGAAGATGAGCCATATTTAATTGTTGTAGGACAAGTGTAATGTCATCTAAAGAAATTTGAACTTGTCGTTATCTCAGGAAATGAGCACTGCTGAGCACTTCAATACCAGCACCAACATCACCATCAACATCCTGGATGGAGATGACCAGTACCCACAGTTTATGCCCTGCCAGCTGCTTTTCCAGGATGAGACCAGTCGCATCTGCACCAGCCCTGTGTACACAGTCAATGTCACAGAGGGGGAAGAGGTCAGATGCTACCCCCCCCCACAAACACACTACACATAACCTGTGTTATACAAGAATGTCCATTAATGATAACACAGACACTACAGTTAGCTGTTTAGTTAACGTGGTTGTGTTTTGCATATCAAAAACCAAGGATTATGACCAACAAATGTGTGTCATGTTGCAGGACATTGTGTTGGATTTCTCTCCTGGTCCCATTCATGCAGTGGATGGAGACAGAGAACTTAGCTCTCCACTCAGCTATGCCATTCTCTCAGGTACCATAGACCACCAACACAATTTCATGTTTAAAATGTGCTGTGCTGATAACTGTGTTTGTGTTCATGCTAGGAGACGATGATGGGCATTTCTTGATGGACAGAGAAACTGGGGAGGTGAAACTGATTTGTGTGATTGGAGACAGACTCACAACTCCAGAGCTGCATCTACAGGTCATGGTAAGACTCACATACTCAGTGTTTACAGGAGGCTTGAAAGACATTCACTCTACTTTCTCACTCCCAATAGCAATCTTACTGATCTGTTTTCTGTCTTTCTGTGTGTCTTGCACCCAGGCGTATCAGGACGACGACCCCAGGAAGTATTCTGTTGCTACAGTGTTGGTCCGAGTTCTGGCAGTGAACCAGTTTCATCCAGAGTTTGACATGGCTGAATATCAAGGCTTTGTAACTGCTGGAAAGAGCACTGCCTCTCTGGTCAATACTTATGGCAGCAAAGCACTGATATTATATGTACATGATCAAGACTTTAACCATGTACGCATTACACTACTATTCCACACACATAACATACACACCCACAGTGCAAAAATGCTCAAAGCAGATCTGTATTTTTAATTTATGTCATCACCCATCACCTCTTTTTTTCTCCACAAACAGGGCTTCAATCCCATGATCCACTTCACCTTCAGTCCTACATCCAATCACACAGAAATGTACCAAATCACACAGGAGGGTCTTCTGATCGCCAGGACCAATCAACTGCAAGCAAGACAGAAACACGTTCTAGAGGTGAGCCTTGATTTGATTGAAAACACAATACTAGCGATTGTAACCGCACATTTACATTATGTCAGCTCACAAATATCATTTTTAGTTTTAATTACCATAAATGTTTTGAAAGATTCCCTAATTTGCATGAATGCCGATTGAGATACTGAGTCCTTCATTAGGCTGACTGCATAAGGGAAAAAAAAATGGAACAACCCAAAGGTTTTGGCATGCACAACAAAATAACTATGAAGTATTGTGTTTATCTACTATAATTACATCCATCAAAGTGGAATTAGATTCGTTGAAATAAACTGAAAAACATTTGATGTGCTTTGGAAAATGATCAGCAGTAGTGTAAAGTACACAAGACGTAAGTTAATTGGCAAAAACATTCAAATCAACCAGCATGTCCCTAATCTTACCAAAGACAAGACTGAATTGATATGTATTGAACATGTCCGGTTGCAACAACTCAAACCTCATAAAACATTATACATACTACTACATCCTGCAGTGAAGCCAGTCTTTTGCCTTATGTTTTGATGCTTTTAATGGTTTTATGCAAAGCACTTTGAATTACCTTGTTGTTGAAATGTGCTATACAAATAAACTTGCCTTGCCTTGCCTTGATCAAAATCTCATAACAAGTGAAGACACAGTTATTGAAGATGTGATAAAAAATACTTTGCAGGTAACGGCTAGAGACCAGGAGTCGGGAGATTCCACCTTTGCTACTGTAGTGGTGGAGGTGTTGCCTGAAGGACAATCAAGTAAGGACACACTCTCAAGGCTTTTACACACCGGTGGCATGAGTACTTTCACACAGAACATGAATATCATGTATATCATGTCAAGTAGGTTTTGCCACTTTTCCCGCCCATTTAGGAGACCTGAGACTTTTAACTCCAATGGGAGAAGTGAACATAAACACAGATTATGACCGGTTCATTCACTCCACAGTCAACTCACAGTCAACACCAACGTAAATATTGGACCCAATTTTAAACCACATATCTTCAGAACATTCTGACAGTAAAATGGCATTTTACAGGAAGACAAATAAGGAGAAGATAAACTTTCTTCAAGACCTTTCTCTGTCTCAGGAACACAATCTCGTAAGATCTGGCAGCCAACATTTGCGAACGCCCTTGCTAACAATTTTTTTAAGCTGTGTAATTTTCTAATGTTAGAGAAATAAATATGTAAATACATTATGCAATGTGTGTTAACAACACTTCAAACAAGGTGGGGGATGGGGGGGGGGGCACACATGTAATGATCACGCACAATAGGAGACAGGAAGTGAATACGATTTCAAACAATTGGCGAAGCTTGTAATGCGTCATCTTTGTTTTGAAAACAACAACACGGACGCTCCCGTCTTCTGAACCAAGACAGCAAATGTTTTTACTCACTTCAGCCTTGACAAAGGCATATCCACTCTAAATCCAAAGCCCTAGATATATACAGCACCCTGCGTAAATGTTTACCAGAGGGAACTCAAATTCACTTTGAGCATTTTGTTGAAAGGAAAAAGTGCAAACTCTTATGGGTATGAATAGTTTTGATGCAAAAATATTCGTAGGCAAGTATTTCCCGTGTGTATAGGCCACTACATGGCATTCACTCCTTATTGCTGTGATGAGCCTGCAGACTGAAACTATGTATCTGTATGTCTATCTGTGCACACCTCAGTCCCTCGTAATACACTGGGAGATGCGCATCCGATAAGCTGCACTTTGGGCAATGCCTTGTTTCTGAGCATGGTGTTCATGACTGTACTTGGATGTATCGTGTCCGTGGTGATGTGGCTGAGGAAGAAACAAAAGGGAAAGCGGGACCCACTGCAAAGAGGCTGTGTGGCACAAGGCAAACACCCCAATGTGGTGAGATCCCTAAACTCTATCATCTAGATTCATATTTACCAAGATTTGTTGGTCAGTGAGTTTCTGAAATATTCTTTACTGTATTTTCTCCCACAGAGCTTACGGTGGTTCCAACTGGTGAGTTAATTATTAACTACTGAAGTTAATATTCATCCTTGTCCTTTATTTCCTGTCCCTTTCCTTAAATAACTCTTCATAGTACACTAGTCATGATCTCCATCTCACGAGTAGTTACAGTTATCTAATTAGTTAATGTCTGCACTGTCCGAATCCTACTTAAGGTAAATGTACAGTTCATACAGTTTGACAAAACTATTCCAAAGTCCAAATGATTTGCTGTTTCTGAGGCTTTTGACTATATCTCCTGGCCTTCATCACTGGATGGAGTTTCTCAGTTAACAAGGAGATGATATAGTTGTTACAGTACGTGACCTACGTTTGTAATAAAAACCATCTTCATGACAACTAAACAGATCCATCTGTTGATGAAGGCCACAAGATGTGGTCGGAAGCTTCTGAAAGCAACAAAAAGGTTGGACCTTGTTTTGACAATTGTCTTGTCAAACTGCTGTTTCTACGGTCCGGAATCCCTTCAAGCTGAAGTTTATACAGTATTTGAAGATGTGAGGCACATCACTCCTGATTAATCTTATCACTCCCATTAACTAAAGATTAGACTCCCTGGCTGTTAGAAGGCCTAGCAATTTCTAAACGTCACAGCGATCATTCGCTTACCTCCTCTCTGCGATACAATAGTGGTTTACTTTTTCCACTGTGGTTGCTCTCCAGGAGAGTCACCGTAGCAGCATGCCGCACACGGAGGAAGTACCCTACAACAATGAAGAATATGGAACCTGCAACCCTTCCTTCAGCTTCACAGACAATCCTGGCATCTACACCCACCAAGACCTCCCCTCATGCCGAGGACCCGTTCCACCCAGAACGGCTGCTGCACCCGACACCAGCTTCATCCCCACTGAAACTGCGCTCAGCCCTGTGATCTTCAATAATAATGTTTCTACACCAATCAAAAGCTCCTCTTGTTCACCCCCCTGTCACCCAGCCATTGTGGATGTGAGCCCCACACATATGGCTCCACCCGAAGAAAACCCTGGCTCACCAACTGATACATATCTTGACCCTACCGAGGCACTACCTAACACCAGTCCTAGCCCTGCAACCCCTGATGCCACCAGCACTCCACCGTTCACCTGTCCTGATTTACAAACTACAGAAACAACCATCAACGACGACCGTGCCGACCCCGTCACCAGCCCCTCCTCTCAATGCAGTGTTCCATGCAGTCAGACCCGAATTGCTTCAGCAGAAATAGACAAACCTTTCCGCAAACCTCGTGTGAAGACACCCCCATATTCACCTTTACTGTCCTCACCCCTCCCCAAGCACACGGGCACACCCCCACCCACCCCTGAGCTTGCACCTTTAAAAGCCAAGCTGGTACACGTAGATACATCTCCCCTTGATACACCTCCTGCAACACCAGAGCGAACATCCACGACTCTAAGCACAGAGGTAGACCAACCTTCCACATCACTGGACCAAATAGAGCAATCGGAAGACCCCGGTGGGGCTTCAGACGCCGGCAGTCCGTCTCAGGACAGGAGGCCATCGGCAAACTCGGAAAACATGCAGGTCATCCGCCGGGCAGGGGATGTCAATGATGATGGTTTTCTGGGAGATGAAGATGCAGGCAAGAACAGTGAGGATGATGATGATGATGATGATGATGATGATGATGAGTTAGATCCAGCTGACGAAGAGCTGCTGAGAGTGATGGCTCGTTGTAATCCCATTTTTATCACATTTAGGAAGTGATGTCACTATAATATTGCAGGAACTGCGAGTGACGGAGTGGACGACAGAGAATGAAGGGGGTGAGGTGAAGATGGATGACTGTGGAAGCCCATAGGGGACTTTATAAAAATGATAATGTAAACTTTCACAATAGCATTACAATTTTCCACATTTCAGTGTTATTTGAGTAAAAGATACATTTTCACATAGTCTTATGTTCGTTCCATGACCATATTAAAATGAAAATGGAAAAGCTGTACAGTCTAGCTAATCATTTCAACTAACAAAGCACCACCTTCCAGGTGAACTGCAATTAAAATAGGCATTATGACAAATATTTGTAGTATAACTTGTTCATAACAAAGCCTTTGGATTTTTCTGTAACGCTAGCTACAAGTTATTACTTCAGTTTATGTGTTGCTGAGAAATGTAGAGTAGTAATTCAGTTCAAACTCTAAAGCACACAAAGAGATGAATATTGGGCTAAATCTACTTCTCCACTGTTACACCAATGCTGCATAGTAAGACCAAAATAACAGTAAACAGCTCAAGCTTGGTTTGTTAGCATTAATGAACTTCAGACCATGCATATTATACCCGCTGTGACAAGACAGCAACAACACCTCAGCAACACAACCTCTTATTTTGCTTTGACATAGCAAGAATACCTTTCTTTACTGTTAACATTAGCTGTGCAAAGCAGTGGAACTTCACATTACCACACACCATCAACAAGGACTGAATGATGTCTGAGACAGCTATATCGACCTGAATAACCCATTACCAGGTAATATCAAAACTTCTCTCGTCAAACGATACCTGCAGTCGATAATTTTTGTTCCCAGATCTAGAAAAGAATATTTGTATGTTTTTGCTTGCAGCCAACCACCGTAATGCGACTTGTGATGCGCACACTACCGCAGCAGGTACAACCCATACAGCCATACAATTTTCTAAGCGTCTCGTGTTCTACAATAACTTAGACTTGGAATTCTCCTACTTGATTATGCTATTAGGGCATGTCGAATAAAAAAATGTGGAAATGCTGAGGAGAAAATAACATTTTGTAAACGGTAAATCACTCTGTTTCTCCTTGAATGACTTAATGAATTCTGGTGAAGGAAAGAGAACAAGTTGAGAGGTTGAGTTGCAATTTAAAGGAGTTGTGTGATGGCACAGCAGGTTAAGTTTTGAAATTAAATCTCAACTGCAGTTTTCATTTTCAAATTGTTAAAGAAATGCTGCTTGTAATTTTGAAATTTGAATTGAGAGGCAAAGTCCCTCCCCTTTCGATGTCCCCCATGGGACCTTATTTGGAGAAAAGAAATGTACAGAGCCTATTATTTTTTTTTTTTTTTTTTATTGTGGCATGAATTATGTTTGTCAATTTAAAAGATAGATTTGCACGTCAAGAAAGTCAGTTTGTCGTAAAACTGTTAAAATAAATAATTAAAAAGACTACACACCGAAAAGTCTGGCTTGTTCTTTGCACTTCTTTTCGCTTTATAGTTTTGCAAGTCAAGACAGTCGCACTGTGTCTTATGTTTGTTGTAGTACCATATAGTTTTGTGTGAAACCGCTCAGTGAGCTACATCTCTTGTCTCGCTCAATAAACGCCAACAACCTAGCTAGGTAACTTAGCTATGCTCCACACATGTAACATGATCTTGTCAACGTGTTTTATCCAGCAACACCTGGACTTTTTTAGCCGGGAAGCGAAAGAACGACTTAGACGTGTTGCTGGTACTTCAACTGGTACTTCAAGTCAAAGAAATATGGCAGACGAAATATTCTAATTTAGTTTGTTTTTATTGAGAACATTCTTCTCAATCACAAAAACTGGACCTGATTGTTAAGAGTGCTCAGTTTGCAGACCCACAACTTATTTACAGTAAAGTCACAAGTGAAAGGGTGGTTGCTGCAGTGAGCCTGTAAAAAAACATTATCATATACATTATAGTATACCATAAAAAATCTCAACAGTGGTTATAAATGGTGCTAGGGATAATACAAGCATAAACATATTTAGGAGGGGAAAGTGTTTGACAGGAAAATCTTTTTTCTTTTTTTTTTTTTTTAAACTGCTTACAAATCCAAAGTTTTTTGCTTGGCACACAACTTAGCTGAATCCAACAAAACAAAACATCAAAAAAAAAAAGGGCAGGCCAGTATTCAAGAATACAAGTAATATATGTACACAAAGATTCCCACGCACACACACACACTATTGAGGTGATGAGAAAAAAAAATAAAGAAGCGAAGCAGCTTTGTGGGCGAAGCATCCATCAATCCCTAAATCATAAATTCTTGATTCCTTCAACTAACACACAGGCCGCCCTTATGTAGGACCGATAGCTTGTGCTCACGTGGATGCTTTGGGGACAAGTATAGTAGAGACAGCGTGGTACCTCTGATGATACTGTATTGCACTGGTCCAAATAGTCTTCATCGTCACTGGAATTTAATATTTACCCTATACTCTGGAATTACCGCATTGTGATCAATGACACAAAAACAAAGTACAATGAACCAACAACTGGTGTTTTGAGCCCGATAACATAAGAGAGACGAGTATAACAAATTCTACTGGCTGGAAATGAGATGCACTCTTCACAGTCCAGTGAATCACAAAAATAAATGGTGCGATAAACTATTCTGTATACTGCAAACTTAAACTTGTTCTATTAGGGTTTCATAACAAAACATGGCTATTTCATAAAATCATTTTGTCAGATAAAAAAAAAAAAAAAAAAACGAATTGTAATCCAACATTGTTTGTTCTTTGCCTGACCTTGGAAAGGGAAGATTAGTGTGATGAAGCAGAGTACAGGCTGGCGATATATCCCGATCTTACACACAACTGAGACAAACTCTCAGCGTGTGATGTTAGTGTGTGTACAATGGGACACATTCAACAAATCAAATAAATTATTGTTCATGGCGTTGGACTCGGTGAGCTCATCTCGTTTGAGATACTCCGTCCACTGTTGGAGGAGTACGGCGGTGCACAAGATGAACACAGAGTCTTTGGAGGCCGGCGGATGTTAGAACTCGTCGTGTCGAGTTAGAGCTTCTCCGAAATCGGTTGCCTGACTGCCCACGAACAGATCGTACTTATCCACGATTTCTGCCTTGGTCAGGCGGCCATCCTGATGGAGGGAGAACAACACACATGATAAGACTTGTATTTGCGTCAGTACACAAAGATTACTTCTTTTAAACTGTTACCAAGATATGAAGATACTTCATGTTGTTATTATTTGTTGCTGTGGGTATCTAGCATGTCTCCGATTTGAACATCCATAACTGGGAGCAGACAATAATTAAGATATCTTTTCTCATCTTAATTTGCACAATAGAAATATCACAGATTTGACAGCTCATACTTTGTCTGCATCTGACTCGTAGACCAGATGCTTGGCCTCGGCGTCAGCATGGTCGTAGTCACTGGGCAGGATCCAGTCTCTGGTCTCCTCCTTGTCCATCTTTCCGTCTTTGTTTTTGTCTCTGAATTCAGTAAACTGCTCCCTCTCAGTCTTCACCCACTCAGGCTCTGAGGAATCTCCCTCCTGGTTGTACATGTCACCTGCAGCACAGACGGATGGTGTTGTGATGCTCATTTCATTAGGGGTAACTCAAACATTTACCAATAATTCAAATTTTGTATTTTCCATCTGTCTTGAGGTTGCACCAATTACAACCTTAAAATCATGAGGTAAAAATTGATGGCGCTTATACGACAATGAACTCAAACTCACCTATGTACTCGTCTAAATCTATTAAACCATCTCCATTCTTGTCAATGTCTTCCATAGTTTCCTGTAGAAAGAAAAGAGACCAAAGAGCAGTAAGAAGGGAAGTAAAACAGTGCGAGTGTCATCGTTTAACACCCATGTGTGTTTGTCACTCACCAGCACTACAATGTCTTTCATGTGGTCGTACTCCTCCGGGTGAAGGAAGGCTGTGAACTCCTCCTTGTTGGCTTTCATGTCATTGTCTTGGTTGGCCATTTTGAATCGCCTCTCATCGCGATCCATCATCTGCCTGTAGCTGAAGCCATCGTCGGGGTCAGGATCATCTGCAAGTTAGACGTCACAACTTTGTATAGTGTGCGCATGTGTGGCAAAGTAAATCTGTGTCCATGCAGTACACAGGGAATACTTCAATCGTATAAAAAGAAAACTGTCTGCAGCTGTACCCATAATGTATCCATATGTGGCATTCTTGTACTCCTCCCAGGACACCAGTCCATCCCCATTCAGGTCATGACTCTTCCACTGTCGATCCACATCATCGTAGATCCACCTCTTCTGAGCATGCTTGATCCACTTCTTCATCTCCTCCACTGTCACATAGCCATCCTTATTGTCATCTATACGTCCCACTAACATGCTGCAGGTAAATGGAAGAAATGTGGCAAACAATCAGCTTGTACCCTCACATCATATGGTGGTGTGTCACCGCAAATTAACTTTACTGCTCCTTGAGGTGAAAACTAGGTCATTACCGCAGTGACTTTATAGAGTCCCAGTATTTCAAGAACAGATTCGCATTAATCTTCCCCGACAGGTATTCTTACCCGAGCCTCTCCTTGCTCTCCTCTGGTGTGAGCTGGTCAAAGGTCTTGGCCTCCTCTTGTCCCAGAAAGGCTTCGTGGTCATAGTCAAAGTTCTCCACGTCGTCGTGATCTCTGTCGCTGAGGGGTTCGTCATGGTGAACACGTTCCTTCTTCTCTGTGGGTTTACTGGTGGCGTAAACCACACAGAGAGCAAAACACATAACAAGTGGTCGCAGCTCCATCCTGCGTGTGTGTGTAGACGCTGTCTGGACACGGGGTAAAAAAAAAAAAAAGAAGACACCAAAAAAATGACTGCTATGATTACTGCTGACAGCTTTTGTTTGTATTGCATGCCTATCATGCAAGTACTGACTATAGCTCTTAACTCAACCCTGCCCAATTTAGCAGTGTATGACTCTGCACAAGCCAACACTCAGACTGTGAGAGGCTAATCTGTTCAAGCTGATGAAATCCCTCATTTGCTAAACGTCACTTATGTTGCAGGAAATGACATCACACATATTGCGATTAATTAACTGACGTTTCAGCACAGCTTGTTGAATCTATCATCAGCTACATCTAGCATGGATAAAACTAATGCAACATGTAATGCAATGAAATCCTATTTATACAAGTTATGTTCTGGTTAAGCATGTTTTAAGAGCAAAATATTCAAATCACCTTCTAGCAACCCACATTTGTATATTATGGTATTGTCATTATAACAACAGGAATAGTAATGCAGTATTCGGAGGGGAAGAAATATAACCTTTGACTGTTTTAACTGTCTTCTAACTAAAATACGTCTGCTGCTAACTTGACTGCTTGTGTGACACAGCATCAGTAGTCTGACTTCAGTGCGTCTAGACACCTTCACCCTGGCCATCCCTTGTGAATTACGAGTCAGTAGAAACAGTTTGTACGCGTTACGTCTAATTATTAATCGTTACCATCCAAAATCCAAAGGACTGACGTTAACATTGGACTGGCTAACCTAGCGTACCGTTATTCCTTCAGCTAAACCTGCAATTTCACTGGTCCAATGAAGGCAAATGAGCAACGAGGTGATTGTCCATATTGCGTCTTTCTGAACACCAGCTACATGAGAGACATATTTGAATTACTTTTTAGTATTTTAAACCAAAATGTATCAAGAGAACTCACCGGTGTCTTCGGGGAAGTTCGTCGATGCAATTTTAAGTCCCGCCTCTCGGAAACACACCCATGCACTTCCTGTGCTAAAACGCCAAAACCACGCGACCGACCAATCAGGCGCCGAGAGCGCGAGTGCGATGTCGCTCGCTCACTGGTCCACTTCAAGGGTGCATCGGTGATTGGATTGGCCAAGAACCGCCACGTCCTCAAAGTCAACAAAACTTGGTTCATTCATAAAACAACTTCTGTGGCAGAAATTCCACACAAACAAAACATCAACAACAAAACCAACACAATAACACCCTAAACAAAATAAAGTCTTTATTTCTTTTGGCTTTAACACTATAAAGCAATAGTCACAGTAGTGCAGATGCAACATATTTATCACAAATCAGAAAAATAGGGTCTAAATATTTAAAGTGAAGTATTCTTTTCACTTTAAATGTATAAATGACGTACTCTCTCCTATAACCGAGCAGATCAAGCAAATTTCTCTCCCTCTGCTGGTTTAACACTCATCAAGATAAGTGGAAAAAACAGCGAAGCACAATGACAGGACTTCCTGCTGCTAAACTGAGGTTTGTCTGTGACTGCTTTTCCCAATGAGATAGGAAATAAAGGAATATATTCACGTGATGGTTTGTAAAAGCGTCATTCAACTATATTGATGTTGGGCATCAAATATCAAATTCACTCTTTTTGAGGTTCAATGAAGAAGAGGCATTACATGTTTCTGGAAAAGGATTGTGCCACAAGACTTACACTAATACTGTCACTCTTCTTTATTACTGAACTGTATAAATCCAACTGTCTTTGAATTGTCTGTTTTAGACATGGAGTCCTTCACAGCCCGGTGTCTCTGCACTGGTATCGGGAGGTCACGATATAGCAAAGCCGCTATATCTCAGCCCACTGCTGAGTCTTCCAAATCTGTGTTGTCCATATCGCCTGCCGTTTCTTCCTGTTTGTTGGTATTTTCTTCTTGATTGGACTGACAGGCTGTGTCCATCTGCTCACCACTATCACCACTTCCTGCTGGGACAACACAAAAAGCCATATTTAGGATTTTAACAATGTTGTTCAAAGCGGAATTCTTTGTCAAGCAGCATAATATCGAAAATGAGTTGGGCCAAGCTTCTCCTGAAAAAATACATTGTATAAAAATGAATAGCGGTTCTGGCTGACCTGTGCCGGTTGCACCGTCTTTTTTCTCAACGAGGAAGATTCGTTGCATCATCAGTTTTTTCACGGTGTGGCACATGTACTTGAGCTCTGGAACACTGTCTGCTTTTCCTGCAGACATATATCAAAATAGACAATAAGGCAAAAAGAAAGAAGCTGAAACCCAACAATAAACATTGAGGAATACATAGAAAGCATTACCTTTCTGTGGTGCCTCCTCAAACAGCACACAAGTTCCCAAAGCCTCTGTGAAGAGCAAAGGATAGCAAGTAAAAAGTTAAATGTTTATTATTTTATGATAAAATCTATTATAGGAGCTCATGGAAGCTGCTTCGTAGAGGAAAAATAGTCAGCATCACGATGACTAATCATACTTATTAAAAGGTATGGATATGGTATATTCATAACTTCTATTGTATGCTTTCTACTCTATGATTAACAGACTTTTGAGTGTGACGTTTGTCATTACTCAAACGACTTTTGACATATTTCCATCGTGACAACTTGCTTTAAGCAGGGGGAAGAATGAGAGTGCAATATATTTTAACAACAGGCACAAGTCAGTCAAGCTACACAAGCTATATACGCTTTCTCTGTAGATATTTAGATTGACTCCTTACCTTCATATTCCCCTGCAAACACGTATTGTCCCATCTGTATCATGGGCTTATCACTGTCGATATCCTGGAACACATGGACAAAACGTATTTAGCTGCAGTGAGAGACCTTCACTGCTATTGATGTGATGCATGGTGGTCAGACCTTTTCTCTGTCACAAAAAAAAGCATTGATATCCGAACACTCACCAGTATCTTGCATGTGCCCCGACACTTGGTCAGGAAGTCATTGTTGATGATACCAGAGAGCTCCACCACAACAAGCTGCTCCTAAACATGCGAAAAAAACAACAGTGATCCCAAATAAAGAGACATTGTGATTACAGTCAAACAAGCACAAAAGAGAAACAACAACATAAAGACGTTGTAGTTTAGTGAAACATTTACATCGCCAGGGTACTAGCCCCCAGTAAATGAACTAACGTGCTAGCCACATGAAGGTAATGTGCGTATCGCGAAACAAACGCTAGTACGCTGATGGTATGTCGTACCTCCTCTTCCCATTCATCTTCCATTTTTAAAATGCTGGAATAAAAGGGAATGGTAGCAATACGTTTATTGCTACACTCTGTTCAGTTATATCTACAGAAATCTCCCATTCCTTTCTCACTAAAGAATATTTGACAACTTCCGCGAATGTACGGTGCCCGAGAAAGCCCATTGTATTTTTTTTTTTTTTTATACATGGCATATTTGCATTTACGGGCTCTGAACAACGAGGGGCGCTGTTGCTCAGTTTTGTTTGTGGAGTGTCTTGTTGCAAAGCCATTTAATGTCAATTGGAAATAGCGCGAAGAACAATTAAATATAGCTCCTACCCATCCATCCTTCCATCCTTCCATCCATCCTGTCTGTCTGTCTGTCTGTCTATCTATCTCTCTGTCTGTTCATTCTACTTATGGTTGAGTATGATTGGATCTAAATATTGGCTACCTGTAGGCAGACTCATCCACATCTATCATTAATGTTATTAATGTTCTCCTGCAGGAGGACATAGCGGAGGTGATGAGATGAGATGAAATTAGACGATATACTTTATTGATCCCCAAGGAGAAATGTATCTGTCACAGGCAGAGGCAACAGAAATCAAAACAAGCACACACATCAAACATATCCTGAACAAAAAAAGAAACAGGAGGGCAGATGCAAAACATGACTGAATCATAATCAAAGTGCAGAATAAGAAAAGATATTAAGCACAAGCCCAAACCATTTAGCTTGGTCATATGAACATACTTGTGGGGGCACCTGAGTTTTTCAGTTTTGTTATTGTGCAGAAGTGAATTTGGTGCCAGTGCAAATCTATTCCTAATACACACAATTAAGGCAACAATCTCAAAATCTGTAATTACAAATGTATTTATGTCATTATGGTAGTAAGTAAAATGTAAAAAAAAAAATAATCTAATGGACATATAATATAATTTATGAGCGAAAGATGTTTTATGATAAATCAACACAGTTTTATCAGTTTTAATAAGGGGTGGGGAATCCTCCAGTATTTCATTTGTTTATGCCATTGAATTTGGGGAAACAACATATATATATAATTAAAATCACATGAATGTTATATTGCATTTCTGGTGAACAAGTTTTAAAGCAGGAAATAATTTGCCAATAGAATAATGAAGCCTCTAGGATGAGAGTCTTGTGAACTCATTTATCATTCAGTTGTCTTGTTTTAGTTTTTATATTTTTAGCCTCAGGATGCTTGACTGGAGGCAATGTATATTGTTCTGTTCTGTATATAAAAATATTTGATATATTGAAAAATGTAATATGTATCTAATAGTCCTGATTAATAATGGTACATATCGATCCTTATAGGACATATCTCTTCCAAGTTTGCTACCCTCTACAGAGGGGTCAGAGATCGGGGAAAGCTGAGGGGCAACACCCCGGGAGCTGTTATGGATTCATCATCTCGCTCAGGACTTCTTTTTCTCACCGAGTGCTCTTCTTGAAAGACCACACCGTCCAATAATGAAAAACAGGACAGGTGTGATGAATGGAACATGTAATAAATAAGTGAAATGTATTTGTGCAAATCTACTATATCACCTATCAACCATGCTAGTGCCTTTTACACGTAAATGTTATTCAGTAAAGGTTCTGGCAAATTTTTTGCATTTTGTTTTTCAGGAGGAGCCATGAATCCTCTTCCACAGCCAACACAATTAATAGACTGATTGAGGGAATTGAAGTAAAACTGAACCGTTTAACTCTTGGGATGACAAAGTCAATAAATTGGTGCTGGGCCAGTCACAGTACTGTCCTCGGGTTTAGGAAATGGAGTCGTGGAAAGACGGGGGTTTAATATGTAGATATCCGTATCCTCCTGGTTTTTCAGATATCTGAATTTCCTCCAAATGAATTTGGTGGTAACCGTAAATAGCAGACTGTGGGTTTAATGCCCCAAAATATCAAAGTGTAAAAACATACGGGTTTCCTGCACCCACCATTTACATTAATTTGCTTTGAAGAAAATGACCACTGTTAGATATTTCTGTTGTAAAGATACAGGAAAGGAAAATAGCACAATAATGAAAACATTTTTACTATTTCAATTTTTTATAATGTCCACCCAGGCGCCATAGAGCAAGGCCGCTAACAGTCGTGGAGTGGCTCGGAGGCTGACAGTATTTGTAAATACCTGTATAAATGTAAAGCAGGTTGATGCTGAATGAGAGAGAAAAAAAATATTTTGAATCAGAATCAGGCATCCCAAATTAAAGGGGGGTGCAAATCCCCCATGTGCCTGCTCCTTCTCCATTTCTGGCCTATCATTTATCTCTGGACCACGGTGGGGTTGTCATGTCGACCAGTCCACAAGTTACTATGACAACGGCTCAAGGGGAGGCACTTGCTAGGGAGGTTATTGCCTCCTTGGGGATGTAAGAAGGACGGGGGGGGAATGGGAGCAGAGACAAAGATAGGGGGACTTATAGACGCCAAAAAGGCTCGACTGAAGGGAGAGGTCAAGTCTGAGTATGTTAGCTGGAAGTGTGTTTGTGTTTGTATGGCTTCGCTATAAAGGTCAGTTTACATTCAGAATCACGCAGAAGTGGACACAGTGTGTAAATCAGAGTGGCCCCACTGAAGCTTTGGAGAACAAAGTTTTCTCCCTGCTGGACGAGGCCTCTCCTGTACATGATGTATTACACTTCCTGCTCAGTGCCATACCCTGGGGCACAAAGGGGCGGAGGCAAGGGAGGGAGTGACATTAAGGACCCTCCAAGGTGTCAGATGGGTCCCCAGCTTCCCCCACATTTTGTGATATAAA